GGCCGGGGCAGGGCTGGGGCTGCGTGCGAGGGCAGGCGGCGGAGCATCGCGGCGTGGGGTCATCCCTGCTACGTGCTGGGAGCGCCTGCCTTGGCTGCGGCGATGGGAGCTGAAGAAATTGCCGTTCTGCCGGTCGTTAGTGCTGCCTCTGACTTGGTTGCTTCGTTCTGCTACGCCATTGATGCGAACATCTGGGAAGCTACTTGTAACTTGCAGAAATGAACCTGATGTGTGCCCCTCTCGGGATTTCTTTAAAATTCATGTCTGAGCTTGTTAATTTGCCGTTGGCGGGAGCTTGTTCCTTGTGCACAGAAACACTTCATTTTATGTAGTATTTGTGGTAGCAAATGCTTGAAGACTCCCTGTAAGTTCACTGCTGCTGATTTGTAGGATCTAAACTGGCAGTCTGTGTGAATAGAGGCACTATCTGCTTTGAATATGAGAAGAATCCCTTTTTATAAATAAACTGCAGTGGGATTTTTAGTGTATGTGTAGACCAACTGAGAATGGTGACTCCGGTCATCGGTATATGTGGTGGGCATGATGCCTATGTAGTGTTGTTCAGAACACAGCCCAAAAAGCCCCCTTTCCTCCTGTTGTAATATCATTTACTTTTTCCTTTCTCTAGAGCGAGGCAGAAGTGAATCCCAAAGCTTACCCCTTGGCTGATGCACAGCTCACCAAAACACTGCTGGATCTTGTGCAGCAATCCTGTAACTATAAGCAGCTACGCAAGGGAGCCAATGAAGGTACGACCTGTGTGTTGCAAAGCGTGATAGAAATCATAGCAAGGATCTTGTGAGAAGCTGTGGCTACAGAGTGTCTCTTCTCTGTTGCAGTGGGTCACTAACATTACATAGATCTGAGTATCGTGAGTGTCCCTCTCCTTCCTCTTTCTTGCCTGCTTAAGCAATATTCAGGGACAGAACTAAGCTGTAATGTTTTAAACATTTATATATGGTTCTGGTAGATGCCCAAACTGTGTTCCTGGTATGTGTCCTGTGATCAGGCATACTTTAGTGGTGTGGCACTGGGATTACCAGATGCCTAGCCAGTTTAGAATCATAACAAGATTTGGGTTTGAGGGGACCTCTGGAGTGCTGCAGTGCAGCCTGCTCAGAGAGTGGCTCCCTTCACAGTTGGATCAGGTTGCTCCGGGCTTTGCCTAGTCACATTTTTTAAAAGAACAATCCCTAAAGATAGAGACTCCACAATCTCTCAGGACCCATAAGGAGACTCTCATAAGGAGTGGGGGAGGAACATAAAATTTCAGCATGTCCTCAGAACCTCTCTGAGGCAACAGTCTGCAACTTGTCCTTTTTCCTCTGCACTCACAAGGACAGTCTGGCTCCATCTTCTCTGCAATCCCTTTGAAGCAGTAGCAGACAGCAGCTGCATCTCCCCTACCCCACCTTGGACCTCTCTTCTCCAGGCTAAACAAACCCAGCTCCCTCTGTCTCCCCTTATCCTTGGTGCGCCCCAGCCCCTACCTGTCAGCAGCCCTGGGCTGGACTCGCTCCCTTGTGAATCCCTCTGCTGCGCTCGAGGGCAGTGCTGGGCACAGGACCCAGGGGCAGCCCTGTGAATAACCCCCTCCCTGGCCCTGCAGCTGCCGTTTTCCTTTGGCCTGTCCTCGTGTACCACTAGAGCTCATGCCAATTTCAACATCAAATGTTGTTTTTCATTAGATGTGCTTTCCAGAAGGACCTAGACTTACTCTTCAGTTTCTTTTCCAGCCACCAAAACACTGAACAGAGGGATAGCAGAGTTTATTGTGATGGCGGCAGACGCAGAGCCCTTGGAAATCATCCTGCACCTCCCTCTTCTCTGCGAGGACAAGAACGTACCGTACGTGTTTGTGCGGTCCAAGCAAGCCCTGGGCCGGGCGTGTGGTGTTTCCCGGCCTGTCATTGCCTGCTCCATCACCATCAAGGAGGGATCACAGCTAAAGCCTCAGATCCAGTCTGTCCAGCAAGCTATAGAAAGACTGTTGGTCTAAATGCCCATGAGTTTAAGTGTGTGTGTGGAATAGGAAGGTTGAAGTCAGGGGGAATTAATGTCTAGCTTCAGTTGAGATTATAGTTTTGATATCAGTGTTTCATTTCAAAACACCACATTTTTGTTTAATAACTGCTTAATTCTTAGTGTTTCTGCTTCTACTCCCCCCTCTTTTGTATTATTCCACTCCAACACATCCATTCTCATCGTATTACTTTTTGAAAAGTGATTGTACAACTGTATTTCCTGTTTGATGTTTGAAAGGAGAAAAAAAAAAATCCCCCTTATCTCCATGTTTTCCTGCTCAGGGCTTTTTTTAACCCACCCATTAGCTTACTCTGTTGTAGTATTTCTGCTAAGCTTCAGCCTCTAACAGGTGTGAGTAACTCTGTGTTTCTGAATGGTTTAAGTTTACTGAGGATAAGGCACGTCAGTTCCCTGCATCATGCGTGGGGTTCTACACACAGCGTAGGCAGGCAGTGACTACTGCGTAGCAGTAGCAGCGGACGGAGCCAAGCTCAGCACACACAGCACAACCCTTTTTCTTCTTGAAACCAGACAAGACTTCTGTAAGAGGGTATATGGGGAGCAGGAATCTTATGGCAGTGCACAAGGGGAAATCTCGTATCTTCCCTTTTTTTTTTTTTTAAATACTGACTTTTTAAGAAAAATAAAATTGCTGACAAAGCTAAATATAGGAATGTCCATAATTGTCACTCCCTTGGGGAAGCATTTGCAATTAACTGAAGTGTTCCTACTTGTAAAACTGCTCAGAGATTGCCTAAAAGCTATTGCAGTGCAGTAGTTCATACCCTTCAGTTTTCTTTGTGTGGACTGTATCAAGGAGTTTGGGCTTCCTAGGGGGTAATTCAGTACAAAACATGGTAGAGCAGCTTGCTGTGGCTGACAAGGACCCTACATCTGGCCAATAATTATAATAATTATCCTTTTAGAGATGCTACTGTACTATAGTCACCTGACTGAAGATAAACCCTGTGAGTTATGGCCAAGACAATGGAGAGCAAGTAATTTTTTTCAGATAAAATAGCCTGTGTCTCAAGAAGAGAATACTAGATAATCTCATGTTCTAGAAAAGCACAAAGCACCACCTGCATTCTGTATTGGTGGTTTTATGGAGCTCGCTTTAGTTAAATGCATATTGTATAATAAATCCACTTACTGCTCTGAGCAGAAGAATCTAAATCTCAGTGCTGGAATGGGTCAAATTTGTCTTCTCTTGCAGGATGCCAAAGCAAAGCTAGCATGGAAATACCAATAGGTACAGCACCAGAAGGGAAAATAAGTTTTTCCATAAGGTTTCCACAGAGGCACCAACTTCATACCTTTAGTAAGTACATCCCAAGTAGGTGGAATCAGCTCATGAAAGACCGAAGATAAATCATGTCTGTATATTTTTGTACGTGGTTGGTAACCAAGATCCTTGCTGAGGTGAACTCAATACAGAGATTTTAGAGCCCTTTCACTTGTATGAAGTTTAGAAATGCTGCTGTTCCCTTCTACTGATGCTTACTGTGGAGCTAGTTGCGTTTGAAACCACAGCTTTGCAAAGGACTTGCCCTGTTGTACCATGCCAAGACAGCTGATGCAGAAGCACATAAGGGGCAGAAATAAAGGATTCTTGAGCAAGCAAAACTGGCTTAGTTTTCTGCTCTGAAGCCTTCCATCACCATCCCTGTTGAACTTCTGCTTAATCCAATAGCCTGCTTTAAAAAAAAAAAAAAAAAAAGCCAGGAGGAAGATGTAATAAAGGACTTGCCCTGTTGTACCATGCCAAGACAGCTGATGCAGAAGCACATAAGGGGCAGAAATAAAGGATTCTTGAGCAAGCAAAACTGGCTTAGTTTTCTGCTCTGAAGCCTTCCATCACCATCCCTGTTGAACTTCTGCTTAATCCAATAGCCTGCTTTAAAAAAAAAAAAAAAAAAAGCCAGGAGGAAGATGTAATAACCTAAACTAAAAAAAAAAAAAAACAAAACAGGAGGAAGATGTAACAACCTAAACAAAAAAAGCCATAATCATCCAAAGCCTGGAACATACTGTGCCTGGGGGTTAGCAAGCTGAGAGAGCAGTTAAGAAGGGCATTTGGGGAATGAAGTCACAGAATTAAGAACAGGATAGGGTCACTTTTATTGCATTAAATGTTGGTAAGACAAACATTTACACTAACTTCTTTTCCAAAGGGCAAAATAAATTGATTGCTTAGACATATTTATTAAAAATAACTATTATAATGCAGGTTCATTGAAAGTATAAGAGGATGTAGCTTCAATACGGCAGAGCTCGACATGGGCTAGCTGCTCTTTTGAGGGGAGCTGTGGAGGTGAGCAGCATGCTGTCACAGCTAAGGGTGGTCACAGTGCCGACAGCGGCCACGGCTGGCTCCCATATGTATGCCACACTACAGCAGTGGCACGACCTTAATGTATGACTTAATTCTTCAATAAATTGCCCAATAGTTTGGGTGCCAAACACAGGAATCCCTAAAAACACCACGCACACCAAAATGGATACCTTGCGTATCGCATGTTTGCGTCCTGCAGAAAGTTACAGTTGGCTAAACAATTAGTACCGTTTCCAAGAGCAAGAGAAATGACTATTTATTGGTTTTAGTCATCTTACACTGCAAGACACGTGGGGCATGCCAGGCATGGAAATTTAAAAACCAACATAGGCAGCCCCAGATCCAGCCTCCATAACTGATTAAAAAAATAAAAATATTGGAAGTAACAAAGGCTGCTCTCGACAACTTGCTTTTTTTTTTAAATTTATTTATTTTTAAAGCACAGATGTGAGTATAGAAGCCTGCACAATAGCCTGACTCATACTTGCTACAGAGGTGGAAAAGCTCTAATGCCATCTCAGTAATTTAATTGGGATTAGTACTTGCAGCTTTCCAGGGAACATTCCCTTTTTTGTTTTCTTTTTTTAAACCAGCTTTTGCTATTACCATTTTAAAATGGAAGACATGGCTGCACAGCTTTGTGAAGTGCTGGCTTTTTACCCAAAGGATTGGCTACTGCTTCCCAGTCATGATTTTCTCCTTTATGATCTGCTGGTAATCTTTCTAATGCCAAAGAACTCAATTTGATTACAAGTACTGATAAGTGACTGGCTGTTTTGGAGAGTAGGAGAGTAGTACACCACATTTACACCCTCTGTTAGCACACAGACTTGACCTGCTGCTTGAATTCATGTGGTGCAATTAATACAGATCGTTCTGTTTTCTTACTCACATTGAAGTGAGTTTTGCTGTCTTTATGATGCAAAGACGGTACAGCCAGTGTTGCAAAGAAAGAAGTCCAAAATAACTTTTATTAAGAAACCAGGAAGGCACAACTGTGTTTACCTGCAGTGGGTGACCTGAGTTAGCCAGGAATTTAATTCTGCCTTGGGCTACTGTGAACAGAATCCAACTTTGCAGAGATGTTTCACAACTAAGAGTAAAAAGTTTCTCCACTACTAGATTCAGCAACATTTAGTTGCCTTCTCCTCCGTAGCAAGATTAAACAGACACAGCATCCATGTAAGATAGCCAAAACTTTAAGCAGGCGGAAGTCAACCAGGGCCTTCTGCTCCTGCTCAGTGCTCATTAAAGTATTCAATTAGTGCATCCATGAGCTCCTGCTTCTTCCCGCCTCCCTTCAGCCTGTAAAGCCTGCACGCATCCTTCAGAACAGGGACAGTGAGCTTGCCTAGAGTGCCCTTCTGCACATGACTCCGCAGCTCGTCTTCTGAGATTTCTACCTTGGGTCTCTTCTCAATTTGACCATCAGAAGCTAGAAAGATAAATTTTAGATCACCAAGATTTTAAAAAGTTTCTTAATAGAAAGATGTCAACATTTCTTATACATACCACAGTTAATGGCCGTTAACGCATGGTACTTTAACACCTACCTAGGCACTCACAGACCTAGTTTCCATATTTTGTTTTATGAAGTAGGTGTCACTTGCTACATAAGTCATATAGTGTATCACAATGATATGAGCGATCTCAAACTCAAATATGAAACTTTGTGTTCTGATTGAAAGTTCACCACCAAATGAAACTTTTAAGGAATTCTCATTGAGACAGCAGAATGCAATGATTCCACGGGGAGCTCAGCTAAGTGACATTCCCACTTTATGCAGTTTCATAGACTCCCAAACTACACCTGTACTTCAGCATTACTTAGATATTCAGCCCTAAAGATGCACCCACCTTGGACTTGCTAAACAGCCCACGTATAAAAGTCTGCTTCCTCACCAACACAAACTGAAAGCATGAACAATTTTACTATTCTGTCATAAAACCCAAAGTTATTAAAAAAAAAAAATTGCAATCATTTACCCACATTGCTTCCTATACTTCACTATGCAGTTTCTCATTCCAGCAGTTCTCCAACTGGATACCACAATATCCTCTACTCCCTAAGAATCACCGCTGGATATAAATCCACTTTGTTATGGAGATGAGTAAATAGAGTTGTTGCACAAGTGGCTTCTTTAAACTATGAGATAAACTGAAAACACAGAAGCTTCTATACAGAACACAGACACCATGTTGTGTGTCTGCACCATCACTGCTTACCTTGTTTTCGCTTTACAGCCTTCCCATCAGGATTGTAGTCAGGGGGATAAACCAGCTGCTTAAACTCCTCCACCAGGTTGCCCAGCCTGCGGTTCATCTCTTCAGCCTTTGGCACTGGCAAGAGAGACAGATTTGCCCTCTCAAAACCAAAGCGATCACAGGAAAGTCTAAACAAGGCCATCACCAGATACAATTGTGTTTCTGTAAAAACTAGCATGCAAGCATCTTGCAAGCATGCAAAATGGAAAGACCTATGTTACGATATTCACCAATGAGAAATTTACAGCTCTTGGTAATATCAAGTTTGTATTATACATACGTAATGGACTTGCACATATCCCTGAACAAGAAATATATACACAGAACAAAACTGATACGGTGGAAGCGACGTAGATGATCTCCTACCTGGTTGCACTGTTACCCAGGTCTAATCTCAGACATTTGAAATACAACCAGTTACTATCTAAGTTTGCAAGTAGTTTGAGGCAGAACAGCTTGTTTCTGTCACATATTTGTATGATATCTAGCACAGGGACCTAGGTTATTTGTTAGGTATCACTTCAGAAAAGACATATAGTTACTCTAACACTATTCCTGGAGTAAAAAAATAATTTTAAAAAAGGAACTTCACCTTCAGCAGCAGGTTTCTGTCCTTTGACAAGATATTCTTGTATATGAACT